GCCTCTGGGGGACGCGTGGGGCAGAGCAGCTGGAGTCCTGCCAGATTGGTCCCGCAGCCCAGAGGGGCAGCACTACGGGACCAACCCGGCAGCACCCCAGCTGCTCTGCCTCCGTCTTCCCCGAGTGAGCCGCTGGTCAGTTTCAGCAGCGGTGGAATCAGGGAAACCGGGGACAGAGCAGCTCCAATTTTCCAGCTGCCCGAAGCACTTCTGGGTTCCAGATGGTTCCGGACCAGTGGATGCCGGACCACTGGATTTTTACTGGATATATGTATGCTTTTGTTAGCCTCTAAGGTAACACAAGACTATGCATTGTTTTTAAAGTTACAGATTAACGCAGCTACCCCTCTGAGGCTTTTTTTTAAAATCCATCTTCAGTCATTATCATTTTATCTTGCATATGCTTCCAGGGTTTGTCTTCAGGATCATGGTCATAATAATATTGGCTTTAGGGAAGAAAGAAAACCACTTCTTCCTTTTTCAGAATTTTTTTCCAGTCAGGATTCTGTGCAGAGAGAAGGCAGCAGCAAAAACCCAGCAATACAGTTTCTGAAGCACCTTGGATTCAGCACATAGATACATAATGCTGTAATATTGAAAATACCATTGAATATTTGAAAAGTATAGTCCACCCTGTGTAATGGGTTCATACAAATTATTCACACTCACACTCAATATTTCTTTCCTTATTGCATATGAATTCTAACTACATCATCTGTATTCCTGTCAGAGGTTTATCTGGAATGATTGCAGAAAGATTTTGAAATAAGAAAGATGTACAGTATTTCAAATATCCATTTTTGACTGTGGATGTTCTTCCCAACCGGAAAGTTGCATGCTTCCACCAACACTCCCGATCTATTTCTATTTGCTGAAGTAGTGGTTTGATATTTAAATTATAAACCTCTTCTAGGTTGATTGAGATTTGAATTTCCAGATTTTATATAGAATTTATTGCTTATTTTTATCCAAATGTTATCCAGAGGAATGATTTCTCAGAAGGTGGTAAATGTACAGCTAGCATTGACATAATTTACTTTAAATCCAGATATTTCCTGAAATCATTGGTTTACTTAGAAACTAGTTTTAGGGAAATATTTGGACAGTCCATATTTTTCATTACGAAATAAATTTTGCATTCATCCTGAAATTAGACATTTATGTAAAAGCAGCATTCAGTGTCAATATAAATCTATTAAGCATGGCAAAAGTTCTTTCCTTTCTTTTTATAACAGCTGGGGAAAATAACAAGTATCAAATGGAGTATTTTAAGTGTGAGCTTAAATCAAAATTCTTTCTTCTATGACAGGGGGGCCAAATATTATCAGCTGACATTTTTGTAAGTTGTTACTACAGTATCTTATTCCGGGAGGTGTCTTTTGATTATATTGTTTCAATTTGGATGGCAGTGGAGGATCACCGGGGGAAGGGGGAAAGGAAATCTCATCTCCAAGCATACAGTGCTTTGACTAATCTCCATTGTCTTGTTGCTGGTCATGTCTGGTTGCTCGGCATGACTGTAATGATGAGTAGTTGATTTTAAATTGAGCCCTGTGTATCCATAGAGCCTCTCAGTAAAAATGAGTTAACAATGCTGCCTTCGGATAGCCAAGTACCAACAGTGGCTGTCTCCATTTGGCTCATAACCTCTTAGGTGGATGCATCTCTCATTTGTTATCCATATCTTTGTCATCTCAGTCTGATTTATTGTGTTCATTCCATTAGTGGTCGGGCATGAAGTCCATTTGGAAACTTTAGCTACTGCAGAAAGTGGCAGTTCATTTAGCCGTGCTCCCTGTCAGGACTAAAATACCGTAACTTATTATCATCTTCACTGGTTTTCAGTTAGTTTCTGACTACAATTTAAGATGGCATGTTTGATTTTAAAATTGCTCAATTAATTAATGAACTAATTAATGTGGAGACTGCTACTCTTATTGCATCGTTTAGCATTTGTGGAGATCAGTAGGAGCCTTGAATTAATAGTCTTTTATTTTTAAACAAGAAGCTGTTCAGGTCGTGCAGTTTTTCGTTGGGATGCCCTGCTGACATCAGCAGCTGGAATGAATTCTATTGCATTCTGAAAACCCTCCAGGCTGCCTAGCTATGCCAGTACTTTCTCCTATGCTTTTAAAAAGGGGTTGGCTTGAGTAAACGTGTATTAAATGTATCCTGTGCTGGTGCTTTCTTATATAAACTTGTGATTCAGTGACCAGACTTGATTTGAGGTCTGTTGAAGGCATTTTACATTGCCTCTATGTATTTTAAAAAACAATAGCCCATAAAAGTTTCAGGCACTATTAAATACAGATGTACTTCACTTTCTTTGCTCCTACTTTCAAGTTGCTTTAGGGAATCAGGGTTTTTTGTTGTTGTTTTTTTAATTTGCATTCTGCTGAATTAATGAGAAACAAAAATTTACGAAACTTGCCTGTCCATTAATAGCTGGTTAGTATGCAGCTGTCAAGCACATGGGCTTGATTGCTAGCATTCTGCATGTGCCTGCCTTTGTACAAGTAATTTAATTTATTTCTGACAAGGAGACCATGTAGCTCTTGCAATTAAAATAGGCTTTAATATTTTCATTTAAAGTTAATTAGAATTCTGGTTATGAATAGTGTTGGGATTGGAAACGTACTCCTGATAAACACACAGGAAGGGGAAGAACTTTATAT